ATGATTTTATTAAAATTGAAGAAATATTCAACTAAAGATGGCACGACAGTATCTGATGGTCCGTCTTTATCCGACCAAGGGGGTGTACCTTAAATTCAGGAGAGTGGGGCTTTCTAAAATCAGAAAGACTCGTGTATCTGTAACTCATTCGCGTAGCATATTGGCCAATGCATGTGATTCGAAAACGGAAAATTATTTTAGGAAAATTGTTAAGTTATTAATTATTAAATGGTTTATTGGTAAAAGAGGGGTAGAAATTAAATATATCCATGGCCCATTTCTGTTTTGGTGGTAAACAGTGAATAAGAGGTGTAGTTACAAATTATAGGCCCATTAAGACTGTTACCAACCCATTTGGTATTTGTAGTATCGTTTTGCCTTAAAAGAAAAATTATTATTGTCACAAGTTATTAATTTACAACTATATTTTTGGAGAAATGAAAAGGAATTATTTTGTTAAAAGAAAAAATATAATGAATGGGCCCATTAAGTTGGCCCATCTGACTTTTTTGGAAGAAGAAGTCTTATTATCAAAGAAAAGAAAGTTGTTGTTGTTTTTTATAAATAATATGTTTTTTATGAAAAACGTAACATGTTACTGATAGACTTGTTTTGATTTGTTAAAGATTGTTGTTTATTTTATATATATATTATATATATATATATAGAGAGAGAGAGAGAGAGAAGATAATGTCATTGTTGTTATTTGTTTATTGCATTTTTATTAGTAAAAAAAACATGTTCCTAATTATAGTTATCAAAAAATGGGCTTGGTTAAGAAATTGTTTATTTTTGCTGTAATAATATAATTAGGTGTTGTTGGGCTAAGTAATCAAAATCAGAGGCGCTGACCCAATGTGCTAAAACACTTATTGTTCCAATTTAAGCCAAGTAGCGCATGTTTATTGCAGAAAACATCCATTATTCAAATTAAACTAAAAACAAATCTAAAACATAAATTGTTAAACGTTACAAAATCCAAAAAATAATATAAAACAAATCTTCATCAGTCCATCCCAGAACGAATCATACAGTACAAGTTTCATCAAATATGAATCTTACAAAATCTCCAATCTTACAAAATGAATTACAGCAAAATTCAATCCCTAATTTGTCTCTAATTCTAACAAACCCTAAGTTCTAACCTATTTATATATACTAATAAGAATACAGAAAAGAGGGGGGGGGGGAGTTTGAAGAACAAAACCGCAGATTTGAACAAAATCGAGAAAGTGGCGAAAGCTTGAAGACAGAGGGCGAAGATCTAGTGCCGTTGTTGAAGAAGATAAGGACGATTAGGTTTCATTATCTGAAACCACAATCGTCATTGCTAGCCGCTTCCGTCGTACACCATCATCTTCAACCTCTCATCGCCGGAACCACCGCTCGCAAGACCTACGAAATCAAAGAAGGAAAAGAGATTAATACCAGATCTAAGACAATATCATAATCGCTATAGAGGGTAACTTAGCTTGTTGTTTCTTTTTTATTATTGATTGGGGATTTAGGAAAGAGGTTTGGTGAGCCGCCGCCGTGGGTGGATATTTAGGGTTTGGTAGTGAAAGGGAAGAGGGTTGTTATTCGCGGCGCGCGCGCGCAGCGCGCGAGAGAGAGAGAGAGAGAGAGAGAGAGAGAGAGAGAGAGAGAGAGAGAGAGAGAGAGAGAGAGAGAGAGGAGAGAGAGAGAGAGAGAGAGAGGAGAGAGAGAGAGAGAGAGAGAGAGGAGAGAGAGAGAGCGAGAGAGGAGAGAGAGGAGAGAGAGAGAGAGAGAGAGAGAGAGAGAGAGAGAGAGAGAGAGAGAGAGAGAGAGAGAGAGAGGTATGTGTACTGAAGAAACAAATGAATAAAAATAAAATATAAAAACAAACTCATGTTTCGTTCAAATCCAGTACATGCGCATATATCCTAATTATCATACTCTCTTGTTATCTTCCGCTAGATCATGATCGGACGACGGTAGACCAAGTCCCATCGTAACTTCGATGCTCCTCACCCACATTAACCCAACCGGCCCTCTCAATTTACTGAATAGGACAGACCCAACTATTTTTTACACACCCCTAGATCATAATTAAATTATTTTATTTTATACTTTTAATTATATCTTCCCTCATATTATTTATTTTCTATTTATAATTAATTATTAATAGTAATATTAATTATCATATTTTTTATTTATAATTATTATCTATTAATTTCTTTTTTCTATTTACTATTATTTTATTTACTATGTAAATATTATTTATTTCTTATCCATGTGTAAATATGAATATTATTTAAATTGTTTTGTTCCAAAATGCATATTATTTTCTTATATTATTTGCATCAAAAAATTTTAAATCATGCATTAACGAGATTTTTTGCAGTTAATACGATTAAAAAACACTCAACAAACAACAAACTATTTTTTGCAATCAACTAAGCTAATCAATTGTTTTTACAAAAGGGTTTTAAACAGATTTTGACTAACCACACATTTAGCCAAAATTTCTGCAATCACAACTCCCAGTCAAAATGCGAGGTGATTCAAAGTACGTTTGTGACCCCCAAAAAAGCACCAACCTCATACGAACTACGAATTGGGACTCTGATTCCTCATAAGAGGATACATAGGCATACAATCAAAAATTGTGGCGAGTTCCCCTAATAAAATTTAAAATCTTGTTTCCCCAACTCAAACCTTATACCTAGTATCCTTGTAAACAAGGTAGATGAAACGTGCCTAACACCTTCCTTTCGTATAAAGAAGTCCGAAACCTAGAATCTCTGTCTGCGAATTAGGGTTTATCTGTTAGATTCCCTTCCCTAGGATAAAAACTAATAGTGGCGGCTCTGATTAAAAACTAGTTGCGACAATACTTGATAAAACAATTTAAGGGGTATATCCTAATATATATCTGTATTTTCTTTTCATGTGTAGTTTCCCTCGTCAACGTAATGGTATAGATTGCGGTTATTTCATATTGAGGTTTATGAAAGAAACGCTTCTTTTGGATCGAATAGAGATTTCATCCACGGTATGGATTTCTAATTTAGGAATTATTTTAATATTTCTCATAAAATGGCATAGTGTTTTAACTAAATCACATACTATGTTATATTATTATGTAGTACTTTGACGAATTCAATTGTGCTCATTACTCAAAAGATCAATTGGATGAACTTATGGAGGAATTGTGTCAATTCATTATGGAGTTGAGAATTTTATAAGGTATATTGTCTTTCTTTCATTTATGAGAATTTTGAGTATAACTTTCGAGTTTTGAGTATAAATTCGAATAAATTTTTGTTTTATCATGGTATAAATTTTGATCTTTTGGGTTTGTTTTAGGTTATAGGTGCAGATGTACAAGATAAAGCTAACAAGTTCATTGTTGTTATTTTTTAGAAATTCTCGAAGATAGTAATATGTAGATTAAATATCATTTTAGAATTTTAGAATTTTCAAGTTGTATCATCAATTTTCAAGTTATTGTTGTATATATCATCAATTATATATATGTAGATTTTTTGTATATGCAAATTTGGTGCATTTATATTGGATTACCAAATCTGTGCAAAATATGGTGAAAACCTGGTGCAAAATATGGTGAAAATTTGGTGAAAATTTATTGTAGCTATTAGACAGCGCTTTCTGTAAGTGAAATAAGTCTAATATTTAAAAAAAATTGTGAACATTAGATAACGCTTAATGAGAAAGCGTTGTCTAAAATGGGGAAAAAGCGCTGCCTAAAATGGGAAAAAGCGCTGCCTAAAATGGAAAAGCGCTGTCTAAAGAGATGCGTAAAACATAACCAAAAGCGTTGTCTAAAGAGAAAGCGCTGCTAAAGTGGTACATATAGAAAGCGCTTCAAAAGAGAAAGCGCTGCTAAAGAGGTTCATAAGAAAGCGCTTTAAAAGTAAAAGCGCTACCTAAAAGGGACATATAGAAGCGCTTTTACATTAATCTAAAGCGCCGCCTTTACCAATAGCAGCGCTGGTTTAGGCAGCACTTTAAAGCGCTGTCTATAACCATAAAAAGTGATGTCTATGTGTTTGTTTGCCATAGTGATTGCTTGGACTTGATCAAATTTGTTGAAGAGTGAGTCAAGTTTTGGAGATTTGTCATCAACATCAATTTAAACTTAAATTGGAGAATTTTGTACTATATCTTAAAATTTTAAGTGACATAAAAAAGAGATTTTTTTAGTACAGTCAATTTTCAATGAGTGGTGTAACGACCATGGTGGTGCTTTGCTGAAATAATGTCATGACTTTGCATTGAAAGTTTAAATCACACAAAGTGTGAGAATTATATATATATATATATATATATATATATATATATATATATATATATGACTGAGGTTTTCTCACTGGTGAGATTGTCGGTTTTACTGTGGGACAAACAATTTTTAAAACTACTTCAAGTAAAGTGGTCAGATATGAGAAAACGTAGAAAACGTGTTGTGATAATTAACATTCTTTCATACTATTTGTCTTTGATACTTTTAGTTTTCTAACATAAAAAAAACAGTAGATCTTTTACCGAGATTGCAAAGGCTCACACATAATAATTTTATAATATTATGCGGCCCAACGTCTGTTATTTATGTACAATATTGATTCACCTTTAAATTATTGATTAATTGATAATGCTGAATTTTTAAAAATTTAATAATAGAAGGAATAAGGGATAAGCAAAAACCATGTATGTGAGTGATTGAAACGGTTAAACCATTAATCCCATTGATAAGTTCTTTAGGAAAACAAAAGTAATAAAATCCCAAGAAATATTTTATCAACAATAAATACTTTGCATTGATCTCTACATGGGAACTAAGATTAATATATTCGGTAACTAATGCGTACTTATAAGTTTAACCAGCAAAAATGAAACTTGAAAGATAATTGATATTTAACATTACTTATCATGGATGATAAATATAATCAATAAGTAATTACAATTTACAATATAGAGGAACAATCCAAAATAATATACATAACAGAAAAAGTTAAAGCCTACTGGTCAGGTTGAGGTTGCCAGTGATGAATTTCAGAGTCAGAAATTCGTTTCCTGTATTGAGCAATGAAAGCTGTAGCTCTCATATCAATGACAGGATCAGCTACACCCCAACTACCTTTGTCTTCATCACTTGGCCACACTTTGTTACCATAAGCACCATGATCATAGTATCCTTCTTCTCTTTGTTTGTTACTGTTGTTAGATTTGAAAATGTTAAATACAGACCATGATGACTTTGATTTTCTTTGATTCTTGTTTCCTCCCATTTTAACTATATATTGAAAGTGATTGAAGAAAGAAAGTGTGTTGTGTTGTGTTGTGCTACATGTTTGGAAGCTGGAGGGTCTCAATTTATACGGTAGTAACTAGTTACTGAAAAACAACGTTAAAGTTAAACTAAGACCATGGAATCTGATTCAAACCACTTGGGTGGGAGAGTCCAATATTAATGGTTTAAACAAGCTCACATGGAACAGTAAAGTATGATTCAACTTTAAGAAAAGGTACATTTTCTTGGATCCAATGGTTTCTTGCTTGACTTGATTATTGATGGAATTGCTGTTTCTTGTGTTTTTCATAGGTGGTTTGAAGTCATGATGCATCCAACAAAGTCAGCAGTTATAATCACACTATTATATAAAGAAGAAGTGCACTATTTTCATGTACAATTCAAACTCAAAACCCATTCAGTCATCTCACTCATATACTAACTTGAGCATTAGAGTGCTAAGTTTGCTTGTCATCCCATCTCTCACCACTTTAGAAGCTCAACTCAATCGTTACATCTCGAAACCCCAAATCTCTTATCATTTATGGTTCCTTCGCAAAATAGTTCATCGTCTGTGGGAATTGGGAATTGAAATATGATTCCCACAATTGAATACTCACATCTTCATTCATCGAATTGAAGTTTCTCAACTTAACAATTAAATTTTCTGCCACAACAATTAAAGGAAATGTATGAATCTCCACAACAAATGGGTTGCAATCACATTTATTGAGGCATGGAATTGATCGAAGTTACACATGTTGGATATTCTATGGTGAGAAAAGTAACGAGAATGTTAAACCGGTGGATAGTATGACATATGCTTCAGATGACAATGGCACAGATACATACGATTGTGATCGAGTCGAAGAGATTGCAGAAGCACTTGAAGAAGATTTCAGGATTGTCCCAAAATGTTTGAGAGGTTGGTAAGTGATGCAGAGAAACTGTTGTATAAAGGTTGCACTAAATTCACAACACTGTCTGCGGTATTAAAGTTGTACAACTTAAAGGCGGACAATGGATGGTCTGATAAAAGTTTCAGAGTTATTAGGCATTATGAGAGATATGCTTTCGGAGGATAATATTCTTCCTAATCGAACCTATGAGGCTAAAAAAATGTTGTGCTCTATTGGCATGAGCTATGATAAGATACATGTTTGTCCAAATGATTGCATTTTGTTTCGAAACGAATATGCATCGTTAAATGAGTATCCTAAATGCGGTTTATCTCGATATAAGAAAAAAATTGTCTCTAGCAAAAGTCTTATGGTATTTTCCTATAATTCCGAGATTTAGACACATATTTCGTAGTGAAACCGATGCAAGACACTTGACTTGGCATGCAGATGAAAGAATTATTGATGGAAAGTATCGACATCCGGCATATTCACCACAGTGGTCGAAAATTGATAATGATTTTCCTGATTTTGAAGAAGAAGCAAGAAACCTTCGCTAGACATTATCTACGGATGGAATGAACCCACATGGTCTTCAATGTATCTCACATACCACATGGAATGTGATTCTTATGGTTTATAACCTATCTCCATGGCTATGTATGAAGCGTAAGTACACGATGTTATCTATGTTAATTTCTGGGCCTAAACAACCAGGGAATGACATAGACGTATGCTTGACACCTTTGATCGAAGATTTAAAGATTTTGTGGGAGAACGGTGCGGAGCTTTATGATGGATATAGGAAACAAAGTTTCAATTTGAGGGCAATGTTGTTTGGCAAAATTAATGATTTTCCAGCATATGGGAATCTATCAGGGTATAACATTAAAGGTCAAAAAGTGTGTCCTGTTTGTGAAGATGGAACCGATACGACGTGATTGGATCTTTGTCATAAGAATGTCTTTCTCAGTCATCGTAGATTCTAAAATTCTAAACATCACTACCGTGGATGGAGATAAGCATTCAATGGAGACACCGAACAACGTAAAGCTCCACCTGCATTGTCAGGTGACCAAATTTTTGAAAAGGTGAAAGATGTGTGTACTCAGTTTGGCAAGCCTTTTGCACATACGGTTGTCAAAGGTGGGTGGAAGAAGAGGTCGGTTTTTTTTTTGAATTTCCATATTGGATGTCTTTATATGTGAGACATTTTCTCGATGTTATGCATATTGAAAAAAATGTATTTGAATGTGTTATTGGTATGTTACTCAATATAAAAGGAAAGTATAAGGATGGCCTTAAAGCAAGGGAGGACATGGTAAAGATGGGAATAAGAACTGAATTAGGACCCGTGAAGAAAGAAAGAGAAACATATCTACCACCTGCTGCTCATACTCTATCTAGAAAGGAGAAGAAACTATTGTGTAAGTTTCTAAGTGAAGTTAAAGTTCCTGAAGGATACTCTTCAAATATTAGAAGACTTGTGTCTATGAAAGACCTCAAGTTAAAGAGTTTAAAGACACATGATTGCCATGTCATAATGGAACAATTTCTACCAATAGGTATACGTTATACTTTTCCAGAAAAAGTAAGAAGCACAATAACTAAATTGTGTTTTTTCTTCAGGTCAATTTGTAGTAAGGTGATCAATCCTGAGATCTTACTGACATTGCAAAAAGAAATAGTTATTACTTTGTGTGAGCTTAAAATGTTTTTTCCTCCCTCATTTTTTGACATAATGGTACATCTAGTTGTTCATCTAATAAAAGAGACACAGTTGTGTGGACCAGCTTATATGAGATAGATGCACCCTGCTGAACGTTATATGAAAATATTAAAAGGTTACGTGAAAAATCAAAGTCGTCCATAGGGTTATATTATTGAATGATTCATTGTTGAAGAAGCGGTTAAGTTTTGTATTGAATGTTTGCCCAATGTGCAATCCATTGGACTCCCCAAATCTCATATTTTCGAAGAAAAAAAAAGGTAAAAAATTAATTGGAAATAAAATTGTGACAACATCTAGGTACGAACGGGATCAAGTGCATTTGTATGTTCTGCACAATGACAATGAGGTTGAGCCGTTTATTGGAAAACCAAGTCAGTTGCATCAAAAGAATAGGTATAACACAATTATATGATATTTATGCATAGAATAATCTTATACTTCACCTAACTAATTATATGATATTTAGATGCATGCTAAAGAGATTGAAAAAGTCATTAGGGGTAAGAAGCTCGCGGCTAGCAAAAAACATACTTCTCAGTATAGTTCGTTTCTTCTGACATATATAGGAATAACATATATTCCATTTGGTGGTACACATCTTATACCGATGCCGGCGAACATTTTTGGTTATGAATACATGGAAGCAATTGGTAGAGAAGATATGGATCAAGTTTTTCAACATTTGACTTTAGGCCTCGGTGTTATCGATACCTACATCAGGTATACTCCAATCAACTTTGTTTAGTTAAACAAACAATTTATTTACTCATTTCAACGAATATAGTCTAATTTTAATGATGTTTTTATTTAAGGTTTCTGTATGACAAAGTGATGCGCCCGCATGGATTGGAAGAAAGATTCACTTTCTTAGCTCCCAACACCGTCAACGCAGGGTTAATCCTAACAAAACCAGATGATGTCATATTATATGTACTCGGTTTATTTATGGCCAACAAAGATACAGAAACGTTGTTCTTTTTACCATATAATACTGGCCACGGGTTAGATTTTCATTGATCATGGGATTTGTACTTATGTATCCAATGATTCGGACTGCAAGTGCACAGTCTTGTCGAGTAGTTTTAAAAGATATCGAACCACAGAGACTGATGAATCGATCTACCGTTTTCTATTGTTATTATGTAAATCTAAAGCTAATGAATATTTGATTTGGGTTGTAGGGAAAACTAATCGCTAAATTAAGTTGTATTTTAATAATCGATGAGCTTAATTACCAGTATGCAACAGTCTTACCTCGGGAACTAGCGACCTGTCGGGCGTCTTTATATTTTCAAAACAGTTTTCAGTAAAACCTATCTAGTTTAAAAACCATCGTCTCACACTGTCGTTTTGTTGATCTAGGCTATGCAGTTAAGTCCTAACGTACGCTTCCGCCATCCCGCAGGAGTTAAAAACACTTTTTGAAAACTAAACAAAATCTTGCTTCCGTTGTATTTTAAGCCAATGCCTAATTACTACTGTCCAGTTAAAAGATCTCAAACTTCCGCTTTGTTGACCCTAACCTCTATCTGTTTTTTTACTTCCGTAATAAAACAATTTAATGATTTGAAAAATAGTAACTTAGGCCAGAAAAGAAATTTTCGTAGTAAAAATAGTCCCGACTAAGTTACTCGTTCCCTCGGTTGATTGACTTTACATACCGGTATAGGATTTCTAGCCTGACATAATATTTAACCAAATTGCAGAATAATATAAAGGACAAACACAAATAAACATAATTATATTAATTAATAAGCAATAAGAATTTGTAAACATAAACCTGGTAATAACTCTGAAGACAGAAGCACTCCTGCACAAATTGTAGGCTTTGCTTCGATCGGAGGATATATTTAACGGTACAGAAGAAAATAATGCTGAAAGAATAATGCTGGAAAGAAATAACTGGGAAAAGAAAATAATGCTGAAAAGAAAATAATGCTGAAAATAATATTCTGCTGAAAATAATATCTGCTTAATAAAATCTCTAAACTTTCTCGCCAAAAAGCAGAACCCTTTCTACTGTGGTCTCAGGCTCTATTTATAGTTCTTGCTTGATTCGTTGCTCACGAAAATGTAGGAACGGTTCACTTTTCTTCCTTGAGAAATAATAGGCCATTTAATTGTCACGTTCGTTGCTCTTTTGACTGAGTGGGTGAGAGAATGTAGGAACTCGTTGGATTAAGCTTTGAACGTGTTTCTGTCCGTTGGATGAGGAGAAAGTGGGGTGATAGGCTGTGACGTTCGTCACACGCAAGTGACTATCGTCACTTGGTCTTCATGGAGCGTGACGTTCGTCACGTCCCCTTGATGGTCGCCAGGGCTTGATTGCTTGTGGGCCACGTGCTCACACTTGTAATGGGCTTTTGG